TTTAGACAACCTGACTAAATATGGGTGTTTGGTTGTAAGTGTTTTCTCTTGATCCCTCACAAGGACCATCATAAGCTTGCTCCAAAGGTCACGTGATATGTGTGTTGGTGGAATATAGCAACAAGAATAAAGGATATTTATGCTATGATCTTTTGGAAAAGCATATGCGCATTTCATATCACTTGATGTTCCTTGAATAATTGCATGGTTGGTCACTGAAATTATAAAAAAATGTTCATGTTTGGTCATTCGAAATATTTAATTCCATGGGTGATCACTAATTTTACATTTTCGTTTCATCATTGGTCACTCTCCGTCCAACTCCGTTAAGTTTGTCCTACGTGACAGTCAACTCTATTAGTTGACTGTTAAATGAGTAATGTGGCAAAGAAAAATAATTTTATTTTAATAATTTCCACTTCACTTTCACAACTCCTAAAAAACAATTATTTTTAATCTAATAATCTCTCATAGGCTGCAGTAACTTCCACCTCATTTTAATTGCCCACTGCACAGAGGAGATAACAACGGCGGTGTTGCTCGGTGCCGGCGAGGAAGCAGCCTCCACAAGCCACAAGAATCCCTCTCATGTTGGGAGTAACTTGAGATTGGACCATGTCGATGTGATCAGGAAGGGGCTTCTCTTTGGTTAAAGCCTAAAGATAAACCCCTAAATTAAAATCCAAACAAAAACCCTAGTCCCTAGTCTCACGAAACTTCCCAGATTGGAAAACAAATGTCCAATCGAAAAATCTCATCACCTCTGACTTGTGAAGGTAATCGTAAATGTCGTAGGCATAATGCTGGCACATCTGAGGATCATCAGGGTCTTCCATCTCTGTCCTCAATCCCCAACTTGACCGTCGCCGTCGGGACATCTTCTTCAGGAACGGGAGCAACAATCGTCGGTTTAGACTTCGCCTTCGCCTTCCTATCCAGTAAGAGAAGAAGAAAAGCAGGGCCATGTTAGGCGAACTTCCTCAGGTGACTAACGTTGGGGCGGTGGTGGATCTAACTTCCATGGACAGGCCGGAGAAGCGCAGTGGAAGTTACGTAGCCTATGAGAGATTATTAGATTAAAAATAATTTTTTTAGGAGTTGTGAAAATGAGGTGGAAATTATTAAAATTTTTATTTGCTACATCACTCATTTAATATTCAACTAATAGAGTTGACTGCCACATAGGACAAAGTGAACGAAGTTGGACGGAGAGTGACCAATGATGAAACGAAAATGTAAAGTTAGTGACCACGAATGGAATTAAATATTTCTAGTGACCAAACATGAAAGCTTTTTTGTAATTTCAGTGATCAACCATGAAATTAACCCACAAGAAACATATTACTATTCATCTCACATCTGAGGCAAATTCCTTAAGATCCCTGAAACTTTTGGCGCCATTACCCTCCTTTGAATCGAGTATACCAGGGATTCGGATGACACCGTGTTTAGTTTCATTCGTGCTCACTAACTTTATATTTTTGTTTCATCATTAGTCAGTCTCTGTCCAACTCTGTTAACTTAGCCTTACATGACAGCCAATTCTTACAGTTGACCGTCTAATATTTGACATGGCAATTAAAAATAATAAAAATTTAAAATTTAATCTTTTAAAGTATCCACCTCATTATCACAATCAATAAAATAATAAAATCTAATTTTAAAAATAAAATAATAAACCCTAATCCATTTCCATCTCTGTCATCTCCATTTTCTTGCTCGACGGAGGAGTCCACCAACACCAGTACTCTCGCCGTTGATGTTAGCTCGCTCCTTTTAACAAAGAACACTTCCTTAACTTCCCCCGCCAGCGCCATCCTCCAATCCACCACCACCAGTCTGTTACTCTTCCTCACTTCATCAAGAATCGTCGCCTGCCGGAATTTCAAAAACCCAGAAACCTCCAACAACCGATGCTCGCTAAAACCCTAGCTAGGAACCCGCAACCCTGCATATCATACAACTATCATATCATGATATGGTGTCGTCAAATTATTTTGTCAAACATAAGACCTGATCGTCTCTGTGTGGGCCGTTGTCAGTTGTTCGCACGGTCTAAGTAACTACCTCATTTCGAGCCAAGTTTAACTCAAAACGGCGTTGTTATATAGTGGTGACCAAGGTCATATTCCATGCGTTTAGATATCCTAGCCTACTTCACACTATAATGTTATCTAACTGATCACTTTTGGGTTTGGTTTGGAGGATTCAATTGAAACTACTAGTAGAGGAAAACAGGGATAGAAGCAGGTGCTTTTGGGTAACTCCCTCTACATAGTTTAGATCTAACATGCATATGTTGGGTTTATCGGAGATGTCGCGTAAGCTCTTTTCCATTGGATTTCGTGTTTATCCCACGCCTCCTAGTACGCCCTACCAAAACTCATTCTCACCTTAGTCAAGGCTAACGTATCTGGGGCATTAAGTATATAGTTCATTCCAATATGTACTACCTATAGTGCACGCTGAAGATAAGATCTGTGCGTTTGCTAGGGGTGGGCATTCGTTTCGTTCGGTTTAAACCGAACAGAACACTACCGGTATTCAGATTCCAGTCACAGAACAAATCGAATTATAATTTCGTTCCGTTTGGCCGAACCGAGTTATAACTCGGTTCGATTCGATTTTTTCCCAAAACCGAAAATGTTGGTTGGGTGCGTTTTAACCTTGTGACTCTTGCATTTTGGCACCTACTAGAGAAAAATGGCCACTCTTTTCTTGACCCCCTAATCCCTATCTCCTCATTTCTCATTGACTCAGATGCTCCCTTTTCCTCTCCCTCTCCCACTCCGTCCAAGTTCCAACCAACAAACGAGACAGTTACGGCGAGCACAAAGCAGAGATCGGGGAGAGTAAAACGCATAGCCGGACGACGACATGCGACAACAACGAAGGAAATCGACGGACGACGGCAGGCGGCAACCTTGATTGATGACAAAGATGGTGACGACTTCGACGATAAAGGTTCGTATGGTTCAGATCCAAGCACGCATTGTATTTTTTTGGGGTTTGTTTTTCTCCTTCGAGCTTCAGTAGCATCTTTTTGATACAGCAGGACACGAAACCAGTTGCGGCGGGGAAGACAAAATGATGAAGAAAGGAAGAATGCTTGATCCCAACGGTGTAGGAGGTGGAGGCGATGGCGGATTTGATGGCGTCGACGGTTGGAGGGCCGGGAGGCAGAGCCGCAGAGGAAGGAGGGGAATGTCAGCCAGAGAGGCGCCGACGGCGCTGTTTGGTGTGAGGGAATGGGCTGGCGGCCGGAGTGGCTGTGTGATGTGACGGGGTGGGTCGATGGGGGGTTATGACTGGGCTGCGGTTTCAACTGGCTTGTCGGTTTGCGGGTTTAGGGGGATCATGTGGACTATTGGGGGCATAGTTTGGTTTTTCGGTAGGAATTTGGAAACCTCTGTTCGGTTGAGAGGATCTTGGTTTTCGACTACTCATATTTCTCTTCCGAATTCGAACCGAATAACAATAGTTCAGTTTAAGTTTGGTTCGGGTTTACCGAATCGGATGCCCATCCCTACCGCTTGCAAACCTCTAAAGCTTCATCCTAGGAAGGCGTTCTTGTAGCAAGAGTTCGGTCGCCATGTCCACTACATGACCCTAAAATCATTCATCTATCCTTAATCTGCTAGTTGGCTCTACCCGTTTAACTCTAAAACTCCTACCCAACATGGTAGCTCATCATAGGATAGTAGAGAAGGTTAGGGCGACTTACCCAAGCATACATGAGCATTAAAATCGCTAGACAAAGACATCCATTCATAAACTCTAACATAAATCATTCATCTACATTATAAACCTAAACTAGGGTTTGGGGGTTTTAAACCCTAGTACCTTAGAGGACTACTTCATAAAGAAGGGAAGAAGGAACGTGGAAGAAATAGAAGAAATCTTGATGGGGGAGATGGCTTCTTCCTTCTAGCTCCTCTTTCTCCTTCCTTCAGCTTCTCTTTCTACTTTCTCTCACAAAACTAGAAATTTCAATCAAATCTGCGCTCTTTGCAATGGGAAAGGATCTCCTATTTATAGAGTTTCTGGACCGAACAAGTTCACGGTCACGCAGGTCGAGTTCGCGGGGCGTAAAGTTGGGGTATGAGGCGTGATCTTCATCCGCTCTCATTTCATGCTCTGTCCAGGGGGGGGGGGGGGGGGGGGGGGGGGGCAGGCTGACTTCATGGTCGCGATCCATGAGTCACGATCGCGATCTTTCTTGCGTGCTGGAAAGATGGAGGCCGTGAAACGATGACTGAAACTCTCTGCTTCTCCCGTGCCGACTTCTTCTGAAGTTCACGCCTGAAATGCCAAAGATTGCGGGCACGAACTTTGCTCCTTAGCCTGCGATCTCAGCTCCATCTTCGTGCCCTATTTACCCGACCACCATCTTCTGGTTCCAGGTCGTGATCTTTAGCTCCATTCTTGCAACACTTGTGACCTTTTTAGTACCTAATTCCCGTGTATTGTCTAATACACCCTAATATGACGATATAATCGAAAAGGAACAAAATAGAGCTATATCCGACAATATTTTATTCATTATGAATGTAAAACGACTCAAAATAAACCTAGATATAGGGTATAAATAACACAAATTTGGATGTTATCAACCTCATACCAATATCATCATTGTCATATCAATATCATAGCATTATCATATCATATGTCATATGTCAATGGTAATAAAATCTTGTAGAGCACCAAAAAAAAATTAAAATCTAATGTAAAACGAATGAGACATCATCCGCTAAAATTTCACAAGGGATTTAAATTGTGCATAACTATAGATTAAATATCCTCGCCAGTCCCAAAAATCTGGTTTACTACCCCAAAATCCAGTCAGCTCTTTCCTGACCCCCTAATTTTTCTCCTTACCATTTTATGACATGACTCTCTCTTCCAAATTATAATCATTAGTTATGTTTTTATAATACATACATTGAGTTGCATACTATAAAACATATAAGTAAAGTTAGGGCGACAATTAGTAATCCCCTAAAACATTTACAAATTTTTTACAAGCACCAATTTAATGTTTACCATTTTTGTTTAACATATAAACAAAAATTACCAACAGTGTAACAAATTCTATACAAACAGATTCAAAGTATACCGTAAAACTCATCCATAATATCTTTCACCGAAAATGAAAAAAATTCACAACTTCTCAATCAAGAATCAGCCACTCTTCCTCCAATCTTTTAAACAAGCAAGTGAAAAGATTGATCCGCGGAAAAGATTAGGACAGGTTCTAGTTCTACACTCATTAACCGGACAATTTCTCCACCACAGATTGAACCGGCGCGGACACGCGGTGCACGCAGAAAGACTCGTGCAAGGCCCACAACCAGACACACTTACCCACGTGTGTCGCCCATCTCCAGCCACGCGCCACCAGATCGCCTCTGCTTCGCTGGCCACCCCATTAGAAACAATGAACCTCCAAGGCTGACTGAGATTCCATAGGAGATTTCTTCCGGACCACCTTTAACATGAAGAAAAGATGATATGATGATCTAGAAGAATATAACGTTTTTTTTACTTGTGTTAATCACAAAATGATTGTATAGAGAATGATGAATACTTAGTCTCACCATTAGTCTCACCATTTTTGTGAGATTTAGTATCCTTAGTTCATTTTATGTATAATTCATGCATTCTTCTATGTTTTCCAAACAAAGCATTCTTAAAATCCACACATTCTTAGTATACACATAATCTTAATACACTCATTCTTGTAATACACCATTTCCAGAATCAAACGTTCCAAACGATATCAAGAATATTACTCGTAGCTCTACCGATTTACAACATCCAACATTCTGTTATATACATGTTGCAGAAAAGAAGAGCTGCTTCAATTACCTGGAGAAGTTAAGACTGACCATGATTTAGCAGCAGCTGCTGCCAAAGCTGCGGATGAAAGACCAGCGTACTGCAGAGACAGATGTTGTCGAGCATTAGCAGGTGGACAATACTGCAAGGAGGAAATGATTCCCAGTGAGAAAGATGACCATACATCAAGTAATGTAGAGAATGGAAACGTGGGGAACACAAAGGTTCTAAAAAAAAATTAATACAACCAAATGCTTTACTGAAAAATCACCTCAATTCAGGGCGAGCAAACCAGGCAGGAAGAACAGCTTCTGCCAGAATTATCAACAGTCCCCATAACCGAATGCCAATTGAGTGGCTTTCAATATTAACCATCTATCAAACCCTTATGGACTCTACATTTCCTCCCCACTGCAGATGAGTATACTGCAGGTTCTTCAAGTATGTTAAAACTCAAAGATTTAGAGCCAGATAATTAAATGACTACCTACGGCACCCTCAGCCAGTCCACCCAATCTCCTCATCCTTAAACATCAGAAGGAAGCATAAAGAGGATATTACATGTTGAACGTAAGGTCTATGCAAATCTTTTGCACCAATGGAGAATCCTCAATAATTTATTTCCAACAATATCCGTAACTTGTCTTTTTTTTCTTCTTGCATCTTCAATGTCTAGAGTTCTATAAGCAAGAGCAAGCAAATACATTGCTGGGTGGAGTCTTCTGCGATGGCACAAAAAGCAAAGAGAGAAGTTAAACAATTCAGATATTGGCCAGCTTCATGTGTCATACCAACAGCCAATATTAAGTAGTTATTTCAACAAAGAGCGGGAAATCAAACGCTATAACTTTATACTTCATGGTCCCCTAAACTGGAAAGAGAGCCCGTGTAAACATCAGATTAAAGTTAGAACTTCTACATTCATTTAACAAGGAGATCGACATACTTGTCATATAGCTCGCTTCCATCACAACCATCCCAATATCTTTGTGATGTCACTGTGTGACCTTTCCTGTCCCGACCAAATGTTTCAATGTACCAACCTCCAATATCGTGCATGCCACAACGAGGCTCAAACAGCCAAAATCTGCAATCAAATTTTCAAATGAAAAATAAAACTGAGAAACCATGCTGAAGATTGAACTTATTAAAGTCCATCCTCCAAGAGAGAAACCTCGTGTGTAAAATTTCACACGTTATAGATGAATCATTTAGAAGCAGAAACATATAAGGCCAAGACATTCAAGCAGAATCATCTATCATATCATACTTCCAATTACTTTCTTACTTGCTTGGTAGTAACCGAGCTCTACTGCATCTACACTCACAAACAGAAACCTTATCTCCCAGAGCATACCAGTGCATATGCTTCACCTGCAAGTAACAAGCAAAAATGAGGAAAGATGTACCTTGACCGAATAAGGATTTCCTGCAAGCAATTGATAAGATTGTGGCAGCAGATTAGGGCTTCCTACAAGTATAAGCACAAGAATTCCCGCCAGAAGTCAACTCTCGTAGGTTAAATAATATCAGAATATAGCTATCAACCATGAAGGACCAAAAATGTTAACTTTGAAACAAGGAAATTAAGTGAAACGCCAATAGCACTAATTTTCTACATTACCAATGAAAAAGCCCTTTCGTCCTAGAAACCAAAAGTGAAATATGCTTTCCACACTAATTTGGCAATGGATGCATATGCAAGTACGCAGAAATGCCTAAGCTCAAAGCTAGCAATCCTTATATAATAGCGAAGCTATGATTAATGCCAACTACATGCAACAAAGAAACAAATCCACCTCACCAGGTAGATATAAATCACCGTTCGATGAAGAGAACAGGGAGCTGTGATTAGCAGCAACTCAAATGTCCAATTTAGTCAGTAAACAAGCATGCACACTAGATAAATCTCATTTGGGCAGAAGTTCTGAATTCTACTTCACCTTTTGGTGAACACAAAAAGTGAAGGCGAAAAACTATCACGACCATCCAGGAAATAGACGAAGATTGAGGAAGGATAAACCATTACATACCATGAATGTCCTGTGTTTCATAATAGTGTGGGTATTTTTACCACAGCTGTCATACACAGAGCATGATCCTTCATCAGCACTGGTCCCCAATCCAATTATACTTCCCAGTGGAATCCGATCTCCTAAAAATGATTTTTCGGACGATACATTCCCAACAGTAGTGGAATTACCGTTGGAACATAGGAAAACACGTATTTCATCTTGCAGATCTTCATTTTGCACTCCATGGCTTTGGCATTTAGGAGGAGTTCTACTCGCCACAGCAACCACAGATCCACATATATGTAATTCTAGATCTTTATAAGCATCTGACGAATATCTCCCAGTGCATCCCACATGATGCCTGGAGCTTGCATGGCCATATCCATTGGCTCTCACATTCTCAGGAGATTGATGCATCTCCAAACTGCTAAATGTTGGACTTAATTTCATAGCAGCAGAAGGAGATAATTCAAGAATATCATTCACAATGGAGACCATTCCAAAAACATCCCTTCCAGAAACCAAGTGCAACACCTCTGGAGTTTCATAAACAGATCTTTCCTCCGCTTCAAAACGGTCTGGAAGAAGGTCCATAGACTCGATTTCAGGACCGTAAAAAGCAGAATGGATGGCCGAATAAAAATCGGCTTCGAGAACATCAAAATAACCCGTCCCAACAGCAACCCTTCTCTCTGCCACTATATCGTTTATGGCTGACCTATACCACCGCAACCATTCCACAACTTCCATCTCTCTAATATCACTAGCATGCGAGTTATACATTTGCAACCTTGAACCTTGTCTAGAACTAGAGTGTCTCTGCACTATCTTTCTCTGAGACAACAAGTAGCAGTCGTAGTGAGCTCTTCTCGCGGAATCCGAAAGTATCTGAAATGAAAAACACTTGTGTTCATTGACAATCACACAGACCTAGTAAAGCCGCGGATTCGAAATGCTTAAGCTCCCAATTTTCTCACATTCTTAGATCAAAGCTACAGCATTCCTTACTGTCCTTATAACCTACTCAAATTGAATCCACTCTTCAACCTTACCATTCAGTAGAGAACCTGTGGATCGAACTGGACGAGAATTACCTCATATGCTGCCAAGATTTGGATGAAGCGTTGAGAGGAAGCTTTGCAGTCGGTGGTGTTCGACTCGGCGCGGTCAGGGTGAGTTTCTTTGGCCAATTTCCGGAACGAAGCTTTGATTTCAGCGAACGAGCTGGTCTCGGATACACCCAAGATGCAGTATGCGTTTTCTCCAGGGAATTCCGTCCGAGTCGAGTCGTCGGCGGTGTTAAACATCCTAATTCCGCCACCGTGATTCGCGTATGGGGAAAAGGCGCAACCGCGGATGTGGATTGACATTGTGCAGATCAACAATTTCAGCATCATTGCTCCGTCCGCTGAGCTATGGAACTCGGGAAATGCCCTTGGAGTGAGGACCGAGTCACAGTGCCGAGTCGAGGTGACGAACAATGCACCGCGGGAAGTGTCACCGTGGCAGTACAGTGGGTAAGAGAGGAAAAAATCTCACTATATACATGTTGTTGAAAATATGGATAAATACAATTTAATATCCAAACCTTTTCGAAAACAATCTAATATCCAAATCGCCAACTTTCTATTCGTTTAACCGTTAGTTGACACTTCAAATCTAACACAATATCAGCAGCGGCAAGAGAGATTATGATCAAGGCGGTTGCGAAAGCACAGTTAACTTACTCGATGTCTGTCTTCCGCGTACCAGAAGAAGTAATGGATGAGATCAATAGCCTTATTGTGAATTTGTGGTGGGGGCAAAGACGATCTGAACGTCGTGCACATTGGATCCGAAGGGAATAATTGATCCAACCGAAAAATGAAGGTGGGATGGGGTTCCGTGACTTGCGTGGTTTTAATACAGTTCTACTAGCTAAACAAATTTGGCGGCTACATCAGCGTTCCGATTCACTAAGCGCAAAGATTATGAAGGCAAAGTATCATAAGCGCAGTTCAGTTCTTGACGCAAGTTGTGGGTATCAGCCGAGTTTCATTTGGAGATCGCTCATGAGTGCCCAAGAGTTTTTGTGCAGTGGGATCCAATAGCGTATCGATAATGTACTCAATGTGAGAATTTGGGGAGATAAATGGCTCCCATCGGCTGAAGGTATGTTTGTCCCATCGCCACCTGTTGGTTTGCCGGTGGACTCAGCTGCGCTGGAGCTAATCGAGCCAGAGACGAAACAGTAAGACGTCAACCTCCTTGATAGTTGTTTCCAGGCTGCTATAGTCGAGACAATAAAGCATGTCCCGTTGAGAGGACAGGGGGAGAAGGATACACTGATTTGGAATTGGAGCCGCGATGGGGACTTTGTGGTGAAGGTAGGTTATAACCAATGGTTGAAGACCTTTAAAGTAGAACAAGGCCTAGTCATACATGGGGATGAAAGCACGTGGAAGCATATGTGGGGAATGACAATCCCGCCGAAGATTAAACACTTTATGTGGAGATTCATGAGGAACGCCCTTCCTACAGGAGATCGTGTTAGCGAGAAGAGTACGAGATGTAGTGACAAATGTCCCTTTTATGATATTCGTGAGACCCAAATTCACTTCTTTGCGGAGTGTCCCTGGACGACAAGATTATGGCGGCAGTCTACACTTTCTGGTTGCTTTGAAGCACGGAGGAGCGACGATTGTTTAGAGTGGGCGAAGCGGGTAATGACTGCGGTGGATGGAGGGACGTTTGAGGAGTGGTGCTCGTTGTTGTGGACTTTATGGAAAGAGCGGAACGCTCAGTTGTTCAATGGGCAAAAGATGCCAGAAGAAGAGATTGTGACCTGAGGATCTACTTACCTTGCAGTCTATAGACAACAACAGGGGAATGAACAGATAGCTAGAACACCCCCAACTGTTGAAGCGACAAAGAGATGAGAGCGCCCATGAGAGGGGTCCATCTCGATAACCACAGACGTAGGGGTATTCCCGACAGGAGGAGCAGGACTCGGTGTGGTTATTAGTGATGGAATCAGGCGCTTTGTCCTCGCAGCTGCGAAGAAAGTCAAAGGGAAGTGGACGGCGCTGATGGCGGAAGCTTTTGCTGCTGAGTTTGGAGTGCAGCTGGCCTAGCAACTTCAAATGACGCGGCCGATACTGGAATCTGATAGCCAAACCTTGACACAATTAATGAACAGTGCGGAGCAATTCCAAACAGAGGAGGGAGTGTTTTGCAGGAGTATCCGCCGCAAACTGGAAGAAATGGATAGCAGCCGATGGAAGTTCATTTACAGGGACACTAATAAAGTAGCTCATATCATGGCACACACTCAGACGAATTGGGATGAGAGTATTGTTTGACTGAATAGACCGCCAAATTTCCTGATTGATTAGCTTATGATGGATAATATAACCGCACATGCTGATTAATAAAATTTCATACAGATTTTGATAAATAAAAAACTACCCGTATTCCTGATTAATTAACGATCCTTCAATAAAAAATCAGCGCCAGATAATTTCGACGACCGGTTCTCAAATAGACTTCGCGTTGAAGGTTTTTTATTTTTTTATTTTTATGAATAACTTAGCGTTGAAGGTTTAAGATGTGGCATTCAGATCTCTTACCCAAAGAAATAAAGATGCATGCAGGATCATGTATATATCCCGCAGAACGACACGTATAAGACTTCTGAAACCTACAAGCTCGACACGTTACATTGACATCTCTCTCCCGGATGTCATCAATCATAGACGCTACACGTGTCCACTCAACCGTGTGTGTATATATATATAAGCAGTAGATCAGATTTCCCAAATATCAACTCCACAGATTAAAAATGGAGAAAAAACAGGAAGTTTCGCCGGCGGAGGAGAAGAACGCCGATCGGAGTCGCGGGGTGGACAAAAAGGAGAGCAAATCAGATGAGTTCGATCTGCCGCTGGAGAGCAGCCCTTATGTGAACTACGACGACTTGGACGACTATAAGCTCAAAGGCTATGGAGCTGAAGGCCATCTCCAACCAGAACCCGGCCGCGGCGCCGGCGCTACTGATGCTCCCACTCCGTCCGGTGCGGCGGGGACTCGCCAGTACGACGTCGCTGGAACTGGAACCGCTACGGATACGATTAATCATCAAGGGGTTCCCTAGTCAATGCGCTGTTTTGCCAGTTGATTAGATGCATGTATTTTCTTCCACAAATAAGACAATACCATAAGTTTAGTACGGTATAAGTTGGTACTTAGAATTGCTGCCGGCTTTTCGGACTCACATATTCTAAATCTATCGGTCTTTTTCCTCATATTTTTTTTTGTTTTCCCCTTCTTGTGTTCCGATAGAAAGTCGTCGTAGAGCCGCATCCAGCCAAAGTGGCGGCCCAGGTAGAGATGGCAACAAAACCCGAACCCATGGGTACCCACCCGACCCAACCCGGTCAACGCGGGTAAAACCCGTGTTGACGGGTTTTGGGTCGGGTTCGGGTTTAAACCCGCTACACTATTAACCGGGTCGGGTTGGGTTTGGGTTTAGGTAAACCCGCCCCATGGGTACCCGCCCACACATATATAATTACTTTTTCGGTATATTTAATATTCTAAATAATATATCTTCCTTAAACAACTAATATTCTTTATGTTTGTGGAGACATGTATAATTTGTTCTTTTTAGTTGTTTAGAATGAAGTTGATATTATGAAGTGGAGAGTGAAGAAACTTAGTTTACGAGGAAGAAGCTTTCAATTAATCTTATTGTTTATAGATGTTTATCTTTAATTTTGAACAATTTGTATTGATCATTTGCGGTTTGCTTATATGCTCTAGATTGGTGTTTTTTTGTATGAGAAGATTGATAACTTTTATATTGAAAGAAACTTGTTATTGTAAATTTTTTACCACAAAAACCCACGGGTACCCATGAACCCGCGAATACCCAGCGGGTTGGGTTGGGTTTGCATTTTTCAAACCCAACGGATTTTACCCGGGTTTTTTTGGCCGATAAACCCATGGGTTTGGGTTTGGGTTTGACAAAACCCGACCCAACCCGACCCATTGCCATCCCTAGGCCCAGGGCAAGTCCTCGAAAACTGTAGTCCAATAATAGAATTGTGGATGTGTTGATCGAAATAGAACCATAAATGGGAGGTTTATTATTTAAACTTACTCCTTTCACACCAATACAACCATGTATATATCCACTAGCTCTAGGGTGAACATTGGGAGTGCTCGTGGGCGTACCCAGAAATTTTTCATAAAAGAAATTTTTTATAAAATAAAAATAAAACTAAGATAATACATTACTTTTTCATATTCGAAAATAATAATAGAATACATTTGATGCCTACAGTGTTAAAAATATATTGTGTCTAAATATCCTATTAGATAATCATTCACGAACTTATCGAATATTCGATTTGTAAACTTGCTCGTGATGTAACCCAAAGCTGAAAAATTCTTTCAATACTTGCCTTACAACCATAAAATCAATATAAATTAAGAGTAGTTTGAAATTAGTTTAATTGTTAGGTTTTGAAAATAATTAGAGATAGGAAATGACATTTTACTATCACACTGTGTTCAAAATCGAACTACAAAATTAATAATAATATTCTATGTTTGAATTACACTACCTGCCACTTATATTTTCATACACAAATTTTAAAAATGACCGTAGGATCATCATTTTTCAAATTTCAGGGGTGTCTCTCATTATCAATTATAATTTTTTTGATCATATTTAAATTACTGCCAGGAGTTAAATAATCGTTTTCCCAAAATTTAGGGATGTCCCGAGACACCCCTAAAGCTCTCTGGGTCCGCCCCTGACTCGTCAAGCCTATAAAAGTCCATATTAAACATGTAAAGCCAACGAGATAACTAGGTCAATTAGTAGTAAGATGTACGTAAAATGCAATCACGATCCATATCTCGAATGTAATGCATGCACGATCATGAAGAATACGATTCACAGCGAATAACGCTAGTATTATTGACATATAGTTGCATAGGAACTTCACACGTAACACCTAAATCATACCATCAATCGATGCAACCACTCCAGCTCAGATGTAATATCATATATATAATGCGATACTCTTATTGATGGCAATCAAACCCATGATCACGGGTATTCGACCGTCCCGAACTTAATCAACGCGAGGAATTCTCGTATTGACAAGGTATGGGCAAACCCATAAAACCTTTGATGGGTATGGATATGATTTTAGTCTCCCCATCTTATACCCATATCCACCCCCAACAAGTGCATTTCTTCACATATTAAAAAATAAATAGATCAAATTGTAACCTATCAATGATAGTGAGGGTAACCCAAGAAAATAAATAATAGAAATCTAAGTAAGTGGTCACGCAAGTCAAAACCTAATTTCTTTCCATCAACTTTACCTTCATTTTTCACTTTTTCCCCGGGTTAACAAGATCATGTTTGCTAGTTATTACTTAGTAGATGTGTCAGAGTCGGAGAATAATGACTTGGATTATATTGCGTTCAAACAATGGAGTGGACTCAGAGGAGGAAGAATAAAACATGAGATTTTTGAAGAAGACCACGTTACAGGCATTACGAAGACGATGAGTGGAGGTTCAAAACAGAGGTAACCCTTATGGATGTCATCAAAACCAAGAAAGACACAACAAACAGTTTTGGAAGAAAGCTTACTCTGGTCAAAGCGAGGAAGAAAAATGAAATAAGACATCCAAAAACCAAAGACGAGAGTAAAAGGGATGTTTTGAAAACAACTTATTAAAAGGGTTAGAGTGACCCAAAAATGGAGCAATCTGGTATTTGAACAGACGTACACACTGCTTCTGGCCAGAAGGAAGAAGGAACCATAGAGCCCAAACTAAGCGCATGGTTCCCTTCAAGAACGTGACGATTATTAGGTTCAACTAGACCATTTTGCTAAGAGATGCCGGGACAACATTTATGAGAAAGAATACCAAAAGAACGATAAAGTTGTAACAAGGGACCCAAACTAAACTTCCCCCAAGATCATATTGAACTACATGAATAATTTTATCAAACTGGGTCTTAATCATTTGAAAAAATTTGTTGGCAGTGCGCAAAAGTTCATATTTCAACCGCAAAAAATACACTCAAGTATGTTTCATAATATGGTCAATAAACAAGGAAAAATATTTGTATCCATCTCGAGATGTAATAGAGCGAGGACCCCAAAGATTAGTGTGTATTAAGTGAAATGGTTCAGTAATAATAGTGTGACTAGACAAAAATGAAATACTAGTAGTCTTAGCCTCCACACAACTAGTGCACGACATGTCAACAACTCGATCAAAATTCATAGATTTCCCAAACAAGTTTTGCTTAAACATAGTAGCCAAGCGACCAAAATTAGAGTGTACCATACGAGCATGCACCAATAAAAAAACTGAATCGCTAAATGTCGCCCTAAAAATTGCTAAACGTCGCCCTAACTTACAAATCAATTTACCTATATGCCCTTAATGAAAATTTAAAAAATACACAACCAAACAGGCCCTTTACGTTTTGTAAAAAAAAAAAAAACAGACCCTTTACCCCCTCCACCCTCCTTCCAGCACACTTCCTTCAACCTTCAACCTCTCCCTCCGCAGCCAAAGAAGAAGCAGCCGACGCCGGAGCCGCCGTCCCTCGCGCAAGCTCGCCGCCGCCAGACCGCCGTCCCTCGCCCGCCCGCGCAAGCTCGCCGGAGCCGCCCGCCCGCACAAGCCGCCGTCCCTCGCCCGCCCGCGCAAGGTCGTCGGAGACGCCCGCCCGCGCAAGCCGCCGTCCTCCTCTCGTCGCGTTCCTGCCGCCGGGCTCTGCCCCTCGTCGCGTTCCCGACGCCGGGGCTCGGCCCCTCGTCTCGTTCTGGCTGCCGTCCTCCTCTCGTCGCGCTCGCCGCCACCGGAGCAAGCTCGCTCGTCGGAGAAGAAGAAGGTAAAAAAATAATAATAATAATCCCGACCGCAGTCAAACCGCGGTCTGACCGACGGTCAACCGCGGTTTGACTGCGGTCGGGCCTTTTTTTTTTTTAAATTCTGTTTTTTAAATTCTGTGTTATAAATGTTAATAATGATAAAAAATTAAAAAAATATATTTAATAAAAATAATTTAGTTATAATTATATTTAATGATAACGTATTCGATAAATGTTAATTTAGTTATAATGTTAATTTAGTTATATGATATAAAAATTTAAAAAACGTTTTCGATAAATGTTAATTAATGATAACAAATTTAAAGAACATAATAACAAAATTAAAAATGTATATTTATCATTTTAATAATCAAAATTTCAAAGTAATTCGTTTATCTACTTAATTATTAATAATTTTACCTTGATTAATTATTTACTTTTATGTAAATAATGATTACATAGAACATAACATAAATGTTCAAACTATTAATTTTACAATTCTAATTATGGAAATCTTTAATTTATTACTTTATGTACTCTATCATTAATAATCCATTATTAATAATTCAAACTTTTTTTTGAAGATATCTGGACATGGAATGGGTAAACCGGATATGATTAAGGCGAGAAATAAGGAGAGAATGGAAGGTCGTGCTTGTAGACTTACGGCGACTGGTAGGAAGGAAAATGAAGAAAAAAATCCACCTAAGGTTAGAAGGAAGAAGAAGGCGGATGTAGTGCGTCCTGACGGCCACCCTACTGTGGGGCAGTTGTCTCTTAGTCGAGGTACTACTAGTACTCCTACACCACAGAGCGCACCGGTATGGCAGGCTAATTGGAGTGATTCCATTGACGAGGATGATGATGACGACGGTGAGGCTGAGGTTGGGAATGCCCCAGATGCTGGTGATGATGTTGGTGATGCTGCTGGTGATGATGCTGGTGATCGTGCTGGTGATGGTGCTGGTGATGCTGAGGATGGGGATGCCCCACCTCAAGCTGATTTAGGCGTGGGGAAGACGGCGCGGGTCGGGATATCTTCTACTGCCTCCTCCCACTTCCGTGGCCCCGATGGACGCTATGCGTCCAGACCTAGTAGCGAGGATGGCGGAGATGGAAATAGGAAGAGGAAGACCACGAGGAAAGATATGTCGTGGTTTCTTACAGCCGAGTCTCCGATGTGTTCAGGTGGACCAGTGATTCCCGATGTGATCCCTAGCTTTGGAGGTCACATTGGTCTTGTACTGTGGAATACCCCTGAGCAGGACCGTGGAGTGTTGGACGGCTTCCATAGGCCGAAAGCTTTAGAGACTTTGAGGCGATATAAGTGGAGTGCAGAGGGTTCCAAGGAGATGGTTGAAGCCACAGGATTGTCTCACTTGACAGGGTGCATGATGCAGCATTTTGACATGGCTCTACTGTCGGCATTTGTGGAGAGGTGGCAGCCGGACACAAACACCTTCCACATGCCGTTTGGAGAGATTTCGATCCTTCTACACGATGTGCATCACATTCTTCGGATACCGGTTGACGGAGAGATGATGGGAGATGAGGCGTCGTCGGATACTCTTAAGTCAGACATGGGTGGTCTAGTTCGACTTTCGGTGGATGCTCAGGTTGGTGGTAAGTGGAAGTCTAAGTGGTACGATAATGGTGCTATGCATGCAGAGGGATTGTTGGTGCGTGGGGGAGAGTTGAAGATTAAGGAGATGGAGGTGCAGTGTTACCTATTTGTGTTATTGGGATCCACGCTTTTTGTGGATAAGAGTCGTGATCGCCTT